TCCCTATCTCGGGGGACGGTTCAGATAGCATGAGGTGGAGACTTACATCATCAGGTGTGTTTTCTACTACCTCGGCTTGGGAGCAGATAAGGCTGAGGGATCGGCCTAATCTCCTCTTCGGGGCTATCTGGAGTGACCTTTTTACGCCTACTATTTCGGTATTCCTTTGGCGCCTTCTCTTGCGCCGGATACCCGTCGATACTGTGCTACACGCGAGGGGGATCTCCTTCCCCTCTCGGTGTGTGTGTTGTTCTGAGACTGGACGCCATGAGACTGAGACCTTTACCCACCTTTTTCTAGAGAGTGAGATTGTGAGGAGAGTGTGGGAGCATTTTGCCACTTGGACTCATATATCCCTACCCACCACATACAGTTTTTTTGAGCTCCTGAGTTTTTTCTCACAGAGCACACACCTTAGACACGTGGGCTTCCTCATTCCTTGTCTGATCCTTTGGTTCACCTGGACAGAAAGGAATAGTGCGAAGCATAGGGATATTACTTTTATGTTTTCTCACATTGTTTTGCAGGTTGAGAGACACATTTCACTCCTCATCTCATTGGGCAGGCTCACGGCCCGAGACTGGACAGGCTGCACGCCACCGCAGCGCTACATGGTGGCCCCACCACCGCCTGTTCGGACTCCTCGGGCCAGAGCTGTTGTTTGGCTTCGACCTGACTCTCCGTGGGTCAAGCTGAACACTGATGGCTCCTTCGATCGCCACACTGGAGTTGCCGGAGGAGGAGGCTTGATTCGGGACCATAGCGGCGCCCTCATCACCGCCTTTCACGCGTCCATTCAGGCCTCCTCGAGCTACGACGCAGAGATTCAGGCACTACAGATTGGCCTTCAGATAGCTGCCCACATCTCTAGTCATATATGGATCGAGCTGGATGCTGCGGCTGTCACCACCCTTCTGACTTCGGGCCATCAGGGCTCGTGGCAGATTCAGCACCCGCTTCTGCGCATTAGAGACATACTTCAGTCAGTCCATCACAGGATCACGCACATTTTCCGTGAGAGGAACAGACCGGCTGATTACCTGGCCAGCCTTGGCGCCACCACACCAGGTACACATACATTCCAGACCGACACTGCTCCACTCCGCCTTCGCAATCTTGTACGGATGGACCAGCTTGGATACCCAGCGTTCCGCTTTCACTAGTATAGGATTTCTATTTTCATTAGTATAGACTTATCTCGGGCATCTGTTAGCCCGAAGATCGACTTTATTATGTAGTTTTTTGTGTTTCTTTTTCATTTTTCGGTTTTTCTCTCTTGTTTTCTTTTGTTTTTGTTTTTGACTTTCAGACTATGTAGACCTCTGTATCTGGTTCGTTGACATTTTAGGCTCCCGTTTTTGGGGCCCTGATCTATGCACAGGTAGGGGATCCAGCCCAATCCCCCGCCCTTCCGGGGCGTTGTTTGTTTAAAAAAAAAAAAAAACCTAGCAACTACAGATAACTAACCTAGCAACAAAAGACAAATAACCTAGCAGCAAGAAACAAATAACCTAGCAACTTAAGATAACTAACCTAGCAGCATCAATCAACTAACCTAGCAGCAAGAAAGAAATAACCTAGCAACAAAAGATAACTAACCTAGCAGCATCAGACAACTAACCTAGCAGCAAGAAAGAACTAACCTAGCAACAGAAGACAACTAACCTAGCAGCAAGAAAAAAATAATCTAGCAACAAAAGACAACTAACCTAGCAACAAAACTCAACTAACCTAGCAGCTACAAATAACTAACCTAGCAACAACAAACAACTAACCTAGCAACAAGACACAACTAACCTAGCAAGAAAGAAATAACATAACAAAAGACAAATGGTCAACGGTCAACGCCGGAAGTCAACGGTCAACGCCGGAAGTCAACAGTCAACGCCGGAGTCAACGGTCAATGGTCATAATAATATTTAAATAATTAAAAATAAAGAATTAAATAATAAAAATAAAAAATTATCATTTAAATCAAGATCTAAATCTTGTGGCTAGGAATGAGTCTCACGTCCTCAGTTTAAATAATGGGATGCATTGGAACCAATCCCTATATATATATAGGATATGGTTCAAATGAGAACCAAGTCTTAGTGTGAGAACCGCTATTTTTAATTGTGCGTGGTGCTATAGTTGATTGTGTTTGGTGCTATTTTTAACTAGGATGAATTTTATTAAAAATAGCAACATAATTTATATTAGCATTTGTGAAAATGATAGCATCATCTAATATGAAAAATAACATCATACACAATTAAAAATAACATAAAAAATGGTTCTCACGGTTCTCACACCAGGACTAGTTTTTATTTGAACCAGTCCCTATATATATATATATATATTGTGTCGCATATTAGAGCTATCTTGCACTTAGGAATAATAGTATGTAGGTTCATCCTAAGCATCTTCCTTAAATAACTTGTCGTTGAATAAATAAATCGGTGTTTTATGGACTCTAACTGGTCAATTTGGTGAAGCTTGTCACAATGACCATCTAAAACTACTTGTAAGAGCTGCTCTCGTGAAACTAAGCATCGAGAAACTATCGCATGAGGTGTTTCCATGATCACCTGTGAAGCGAGTTATGTGCATAGAAATAATCGAGGAGTGATAGCTACAGATAATCATTTTTGTTGAAATCTCGTACTGGTGTTATAAGGTTGGCCATCTTACAAATATTCTCAGCATTTTGGTTTAAAAATTTTACTTTTTGCGGGATAATTCACACTTCAAGTAATGGCCTTGGCATTGGCGTATAGTTAATGTTAGTAAGTGAAATGGTGTGGGAGATCATAGAACGAAGTAAGTTCATCATTAGTATTGGGGCTAAATTGCAAATGAAAATTTTGTTCTTTGCTAAGAGAAAATGATGAATGAACTTATATTAATTCCGTGGTATATAAAGTTGGAAATATAAGGGTTGAGTTGATTTCTTGAAAAAAATACTTATCATCCTCTTAGTGTCGAGCTCTCTAAAAACTGATTCGGAAAGATCTTGAGAATATTCAATGAAAATATTTTTCGACATTGCATGATTTGGAAGATTTTGGTTATTGTGTGGGCATTAAAATTATTTAGGCATGCAAATTTTCATGTGACTAATTGTATTTTGAATTTGTGTCAAAATTATTTATGGTACTAATCTGACCATATTTTTATCTGAAACTTCATTACAATTATTTTTGGTACTAAATCTGACCATATTTTCAGAGATAGAGAAAGTTCATCACTCACACGCGGATCCATCTTGATCCCTGCCTTCATTAGAACTGCATAGATAGTGGAGGGAAAAGGCAGCAATTTGTCGGGTTTTAATACATCAGCAAAAGAGACTACATAGTCAAAGATGACAGACCCCAAGTTTCAGATAAAAATATGACAGATACCCGTATTTTTATCTGAAATTATTTGTGGGGTTTTAATACATCAGCAAAAGAAACCCGTATTCCCTCTGTTGTCAAACCCTCTGATGTACCTTCACAGCTCCGCGGTTTCCTTAACCAACAAGTGGCTGTTCTCACTGGTTTGGAGAAGAAATTGGCCGATCATCGTCGTTACTACAAAGAGGTTCTTGGTGCCTTGTCTGTACGTGCCCCCTCGTCATCTAAATCAAAAAAAGGGGAGAAAAAGAAGGCTGTGAGCAAGGGGAGAAACTGAAAGAAGGCAACAAGGCAAAGGGGAAGGAGGTTGCTACCAAAGAAAAAGTGGATGATGCTGTTGCTACTGCCAAAGGAAAGGAGAAGGCTGAATCTGAAGAGGAGGAAGAACTTGAAGACAATGGGGAGGAAACTGATGAGGCTGAGGAAGAAGTCACTGGTTCAGAGGAGGAAACTGAAACTGGCTCTGATGAAGGTTCTGATAATGAGGACACTGAAGATGGATCCACTTAGATCCGTGGATATGCATTTGGCTTGTCTATGTTGTGTTAAAACTAAAAACTATTTGCTGTGTCTTGTGATGTCGTGAACTATTTTGTTTTTCTCTTTCTGTTTTTTTGATGACTGACTAGGAATGGTTACTATAATATGCTTGTTAATGATTTTTAATTGATCAGGTTCTTATGTTGTTCAAACGAACAACCACTTTTTGTATATTCTTTAGAATAGATTGTGTATGTATGCAGGATTATTGATGATGCAGGTTTTTGAAAAAGGTTTTCGATTTATCTGCTAAAGGGGTAGATTGTAAGTTCTGTGGATTGGCACTAAATCGACGAACCTTTCTCTTTTATCAGGATCAGTCATCAAAGAGATAATTAAGGGAAGTCTGTCTAAATATACTTAGATCAAGTTTTGTTCAATTCGTTTATTGGTGTATTCTCATGAATGTTTTATTATGGCAGGTCTAATTAAGGGGTCGGGAATCAGATTCCATGTGGGCAAGATTTGATCGTGCAAATTCGGACTTTCCATAAGCTGACACGATTTGGCAGCGAAGTACTTACCATATGAGGATGAGGATAAAAGGACGACGAGATCAGATGGAGATTTTTATTTAAGTGAGTGAACGATTGATCATGAGTTTTTGAGATTTTTATTTTAATTTGAGTGATTTTGTATGTGAGGGATATTACGGAAAAAGAGAAAAAATACAGAGTGTTCGGAGGTTCGTTCTGATATAGTTTGAGGTAGTCAAACGTGAAGAAATCCACAAGGGATTTGTGGTTGGATAAGTAGTTGTGTAATTCATTGTTCAAGTAGAGTGTAGAGGGAGTCTATACTGTATACCCTTGAAGAATGAGTGAGTTGATTGCATTAATGAAAAAGATCCGAAGGGAGAGTGGGACGCTCTCCTGAAGGTTCAAATTTGTTATACTGCTTCCGCAATTCATTTGAATCTTCATTTTATTCTATTTAACTTAATCGTGTGTAACTCTGAATACTTGGGATACAAGTATCAAACTTCAGGCACCGTTTAGGGTCAAACTAGCATAATATATTACACGGAGTAATTTATCAACTTGTTGGCCTAAGACGGCTCCAACAGCAAGGTTCGATGCATCAACACATGATCTCAAAGGGTAAAGACCAATCAGGAGCAATAACAATAGGTGCACTCATAAGATTATTCTTCAATCTATCAAAAGCATCTACACATGCATCATCAAACACAAATGACACATCATTAGCAAGCAAGTTACACAAAGGCTGGATAATTTTTGAAAAATCTTTAGTGAATCTCCTGTAAAAGCCAACATGACCCAAAAAGATTCTAACTCCTTTTACATTCATAGGAGGGAGAAGTTTTTCAATCACATCAACCTTCGCTTTATCAATCTCTATCCCCCGACTAGACACTACTTGCCCTAACACGACTCCACTTTTCACCGTAAAGTGACTCTTCTGCCAACTCAAAGTTAAGTTAGACTCAATACACCTCTCAAGGACACGAGAAATATTATGGAGAAACTCAGAAAATGAAGTTCCAAAGATTGAGAAGTCATCCATAAGTACCTGTAAGCAATCCTCAAGCATGTCAGAGAAAATGGAGAACATGCACCGTTGGAAAGTCCCCGTTGGATTTGCACAGGCCGAACGACATCCGTCTGAAGGCAAATGTACCGAATGAACACGTGAAGGTTGTCTTGGGTTGATCCTCTAGAGCTACGGCTACTTGGTAGTAGCCGGACAGTCCATCTAGGAAGCAATAGAATTGGTGGCCCGAGAGACAGTCGAGGATTTGATCGATGAACGGCAACGAAAAGTGGCCCTTCTTTGCCACGACGTTGAGTCATCGATAATCAATGCACATTCTCAACTTGGTGGTTATGCAGGTGGGGACCATCTCCTTCCTCTCGTTCTCAATGACGGTGATGCCCCTTTTTTTTGGCACCACATGGATGGGGCTGACCCACTTGCTATCGGCCCCGAATAGATAAGTCCCTCTGAATAGAGCTTAAGCACCTTCTTCTTCGCAACTTCCATCACGTTCGGGTTGCTCCGCCGCTGGCTGTCCCGAAATGGTTTGGCACATTCTTCTAAGATGATCTGGTGAATGCACGTGGAGGGACTGATGCCTTTGATGTCTCCAAAGCTCCACCCGATGGCTTTTTTTTCTTCTTGAGCACTTCAATGAGCTCTTTTTCCTCTTCCCGATTAAGCTCGACAAAGATGATGATCGACTTTTGCTTCTCTTCGTCAAGGAATACATATTTGAGATGTCTGGGCAACTCATTCAATTCAAGGGTTAGAGGGGCTATTGATCGGGGTTCCTCGGCATCCAAAAGCTCAAAAGTTGGTCCTTATTCATTGTTGAGATCTGAAATTGACCTCTCTTCAAAGTCTCATACGGTCATCTCTCCAACGAACGGGTCCATTACATCAACAAAGGTACACTCCTCCACAAAGTTCACCAAGGATGTGAATGTAGCTTCTTGAAAGAAAATGGATACTGACTCGCCCAGGACCGTCATGTTCAATGTCCCGTTCTTGACATCAATGAGAGTGTTAGTGGTGGCCATGAATGGTCGGCCAAGGAGGATGGTATGATCCTTCATATTCTCTTTTACGTCCCCTACATCTAGCACGACAAAGTCCACCGGGACAATAAGCTTCCCCACACAAAAAGAACATCTTCTACCACCCTTTTGGGATATCGGATCGTGTGGTCGGTGAGCTAGAGGCACATACGAGTTGGTCTCAAATCTCCGAGACCTAGCCGCTGAAAAGAGAGAACGGCATAAGATTGATTCCCGCTCCGAGGTCAAGCATCCCCGAAGCTTATTTTCCATTATCGAGGGCGGTTTTAATCACAAAACCCCCAGGATCACGTTCTTTCTTGGGCAAGTCATGCTGCATAGCACTCGCCACTTCGTAAACCACCACCTTCTCTCCATCTTCAAATTGCCTCTTCTTAGTGACCAAGTCCTTGAAGAACTTGACATAGGACGACATGTTCTTGATCACATCAAGGAATGGTAGGTTGACATTGACCTTCGAGAGCATGTCATAGAGGTCTCGGAACTTCTTCTCTTGCTTCTCGTCTCGAAGTCGGCCCGAAAAAGGAATGCATGGCTTGTATGGGTTCGTGGACTTGTGCAACATAGAACCATCCGTCGGTTCTCCCAAATTGGGCTATGTGTTGTTCACAACATTCTTCTCCATTTCTTTGTGTTTGTCAGTTGGCTTAGGCTTATCAGGTTCCGGCAATTTCACATGGTTATCGACGACTTTCCCGCTCCTCAACACTGTAATTGCCTTAGCTTGCTTAGGTTGACTCGGTAACTTCCCTTTGTCAAACTCGGCCTCCATATTTCCAACTCTCGGGGCTAGCTGGCTCAATTGTGTTTCGAGGCGTTTGATGGATGCCTCGTTGTTCAAATCCCTCTGCTCGCTGTTGGGCATAAACTGGAGGATCTTGTCCATCTTGTCGTTCGTATTAGATGAACTAGGACCGGCCCTTTATGCTTGCATTCCACCCATTGGACCCTGCTGCGGCTGTTGTTGATGTTGTTGAGGGTAGTTCGACCTGATCTGCTGTTGGTGAATAAAACTCAGTCGGGGTTGCTGCTGTGTGAACTTGGGTCGGGGGTGGTGGACATTGTTGTTGTTGGACCAAGAGAAGATTGGGTGGTTTCTCCACCCCGGGTTGTACGTGTTGGAGAAGGGGTCATTGCCCGACCGGTTCTGGTACCCCTGAAGAGCGTTGGCATCTGCATATTGTCATTGAAATCTTGATCGAATACCAAAGGGCACACCTCAGATCTATGCCCTTGGACTCCACACGCACCACATGCTTAAACTGCCATCGTTTGCATTGGTTGGACTCCTCTCGCGTTGAGCAGCCTCATCTACTCTGTGAGCTCGGCTATCTGATGGGCTATCATGTCTTGTCTGGGAGATACTTCATTAACCATCGTCCTTTTTCCCCGAATGCTCTTTTGAGACGAGTTAGAACTCATCTTCTCAAAAATATCCATCTTCTCCTCGGCTGTTTTTGTCTTGATATTTCCACCAGCCGCATTATCCACCATGTACTGAAGATTCTGATGAAGAGTCATAAAAGCTATTCATCAATAGGCCTGATAGAAAGTTGTGGTCTGGACTCTGTCTTTGAAGATCCTTGAAGCTCTCCCATGCTTCATGGATTGGCTCGTTCGGCTGTTGAGCGAAGAAGACAATTTGTGACTAGAGCTCCTGTGTCTTCTGATGGGAGTAATACCTCCCAATGAACTTTGAGTACACTTTCTCCCAAGTAATGAGAGAGTCTGGAGCTAGTGTCATAAATCAAGCCTTGGCCCGGTCCTTCAGCGTTTCCGAAAAGCACATCATCATCAGTTGATCCTCATTCAGCCCGTGGAGTGGAAAAGTTTGGAGGACATTGTAGAACTCCCGTATGAAATGGAGTGGGTCCTTGTTGGGTAAACCATGAAAGGATGGAAGTTGGTTGTAGTGGATTGTCTTGAGCTCGTAGTTTCGAGTTGCTGGACCTAATCGGATGGAAGAAGTCACCGGCCCAATCACCGGTTGAGCCAAATCCCGAAGAAGATACCGCGAGGGATTATTTATTTCCTCTTCGTCGTTCAGTGCCATACTGCTGCGATTGTCTGAGTCTGATGATTCAGGAGCAAGATTGGCCAACAAGTCTCGTAAATCCCTATGGATGGATTCATTATTCAGACTGATTACACGACCACTCTTAGTACGCATAAACAAAGACAAACCACACATCACGAGCACCAGATAAACAAGAGAGTAAATGTTGTACTTCGACTTTTTTTTTATATTAAATTGATTTTTTGTTTTTGTACATACAAAATATAAATCTGCTACGTAAAATTTATATCTATATATATATATATAATAGGACATTGTGGAATTAAAATTTTTCGACTTGAAAAAATTAGCGTGAAGTAATGTCTAATGTTTTTATATTTTATACCTTCTATATATAAATCTTTCACATAAAATTAGCGTGATATAATGTTTAACGTTTTGTAGGTTGTAATACATATTATTTAGGCATATTTTGTAGACGGTAATACATATTATTCACGAATACAATTACTAATAATTTTTTAGACTTTAGTACATAATATTCACATGTAATATTTTGTATATTTTTAAAATGTTATATATATATCATCTTATTAGCTTAGCTTCCTTCCTTTTGGAAGAGTGGCTAACCGCTGTTGAGCTCTTGCGAGCCATTTCATTTTGTAAGCCCATCCAATTCAATTGCATAAAAAAGGCCAGTTTCCATTCTGCTTTCAGTGAGAGAGTGAGTTCAAGAAAATGCTCATATATATATATATTTGTGTGTGTGTTAAACTTTTTTATACATGTTTTACTTACAAAATAATTTAGAAAAAATTTAGGTGGCCTCATATTTTTTAAGAATAATATAGAATTAGAATATTTTAGATAATTTTTTACATACGTTACATAACATTTTAGGCATTTTTAATATTTTTAACATACATGTTTAGTGTTCTTTTAAATAAGATAAAAAATTATAAAAATATTCGTGAATATTATTTAGCTAATCAAGTATAACTGATATTAAAATGATAAACTAACAACTCATTTGTCGAACTGCAGACAAATTATCATATTATAAATAGATCCATATTAGAGTTCCATTTAAATTCCAGCGGCACCCGTTCCTTCTGATCATAGGTTTCTATTAAGAGTCAGAGTCAGTCTTTATCTTGTGTTGGCATGTTCTTAAGAAATCGGTTTTTAGTCACGACTCATTATATGTTGTTGTTTCGCGTGTAAGTAATAGATAAAGAAGAGTCAGTGTCATCTTTACCGTGCTTTGGCATGTTCTTGAATAAATCATTTTTAGTCACGACCATGCAATTATATGCTGTTTCGTTTGTAAGTAATAGAAAACAGTTAAAAATATTAGTTTGTGGGGACAATGAGTTGCCACATTTATAATAATATGTCAAACATGAGATTTTTAATAATATATTTTTTTTTCATGTGCAACATTTTATTATTTGACAATATTCCTTCGAATTATCTGTTTTATCTATTAATACACTTTAATTTATAATATTTTCCAAAATAAATACAGCTCGTGCATCACACAAGTTACATACTAGTTATTTAAAAAAAACCTAACGTACAACACCATTGATGAACAAATACAATTAAAAGATTATCATGATTAGTGTATGTACACATGTAGTTTTAAATTAAATAAATGATAATGTGGTTTCATAATTTAGTTTTAAATTAAACCTAATAGGAGAATCCACATCCATACAATCCATATCCAAAAAACAAATCAACACAATAACACGAAACAGATGAAAATATAGGCACGAATCGGATCACGAAACCGTCAAAATAGCACAAAATAGATGAAATTAAAAGCGTCACGAAAACCAAAACCGACCACACCAGGACGTAGCCGACGAAGAGGGGAGTCGACGGCTGAAAAATCGCGGTGATCAGAGCTAGGGGTGGGTCCCACGCTCCGGCTGAAGCTGTCGGCGCTATCGCAGAAATCGGGAGCATGTGGTCCCACGCGCCGCCAAACGGGACGAAATTTTGAGCGACTGGTCGCCGGAGGATGCCGGAGAGGATGGTCCGGGAGGTGAGAATCGAAAACGGCCGGAGACGAGCGAAAAATACTAACCCTATATTGGACTCTAAACCTAATCAGATACCATGTGAGAATGTGAAAAAAATATCTGATGTATTATTCACGAAGAGGAGTACACATATATATAGATACATAGATATTTAACAAAAAAAAATATGTAGTTGTGTAGAAATATATAATGCTTATATTTTATACTAAACACCTTCTTATGAATGATTTGTCTTTTAAGAAAAATAATTAAATAAAAAAAAAATTCAAACACAGTGTACTCTAACGCTGTTGTACTAAATCCATTCATTTTTATTGATGGAATCAAAATTGCGTATCTTTTTATATGACCAAGTGTGCAAAGCAAAAGTTTCTTTTTGTTTGGATTAATATTAAATATTTTATAAAAGTATATGACTGCAGCAGAAAGCTGTCAATTTTGTCCTCTTTAGTGCGAGGAAGATTAAAAAATAATAAACAAAAGTTTTATCATTTATGTAGACTTTTTCACCCATTGAGAACACCTTGTCCTACCTATTTATACTTGTAAAATTATGCTCTCAAATTCTCATCTCTTTCTTCATTCTCTTCCAAATATTTGAATATAACACAAGAAAAAAGGGAAGCCAAAAATGGAAAACATAAGACTCCATATTGTTTTCTCCATGATTCTTTTTGCATGCCTCACATCAAATAGTCACGGACTGAAAACGCAAAGTGAAGCTCTTTCCCGTTTATACAAAAACAAGTTGAAAACTAAAACCCAAATCGACACAAGTCCTTTCAGCGCTATTGCCGATTTTTCTGAAGAACGAATTCAATCACATAAATGGTTGAAAAATAACGACCTAATCACAGAATTGCCCGGGCAACCGCCAGTCAATTTCAGCCAGTATAGTGGATATGTCACCGTAAATCCTAGTACAGGACGAGCTCTCTTTTATTACTTTGTTGAGGCTGATCCAGAAAAATCGAGTGAATTTCCGCTTCTTCTTTGGCTCAATGGAGGTGTGTGCGCTTTTTCTTTCTTTCTTTCTTTCTTTATTTCTTCATTTCCATAATTTGTCTAACTTATTATCAATTTTGCTAAAACTAAGAGAGAATGCATAGAGTAGAGAAGAGAAAGACATAATAGTGAGATTACATCCAATATATTGAGGTTGTAAGAGATAAAAAAACAAATCAAGATCAAATCAAATATCTAATTACCAAAATAAATATTACCAAATCAAGATTATATCAAAGTAAAGATATCTTACCAAAATAATTAAAGCTTATCTTAACAAATTTGTTGCAGGACCTGGTTGTTCTTCTCTTGGTTTGGGAGCAATGGAGGAATTGGGTCCATTTCGAGTTAACAGTGACGGGAAATCACTCTACAAAAACGATAACGCATGGAACCTTGGTACGCTGACATGTTAAAGATTTTAACATAATCGATACATAATCGTTCACATTTGTTTTTTTTTTTTCTTTTTATTTCTTTATTTTTGTTTTTATTTTGATCTATCGCCAGTTGCAAATGTGTTGTTTTTGGAGACACCTGCTGGGGTTGGGTTTTCATATTCAAACACGACGACTGATTATGAGAAAAGTGGGGACAAACAAACGGCTATTGATAATTATGTGTTTTTATTGAAATGGTTGAAGAGATTTCCAGAATACAAGGACAGAGAGTTTTACATAGCTGGGGAAAGCTATGCTGGGCACTATGTGCCCCAGTTGGCTCAGACCATTCTCCATCACAACAAAAAGTCCGGAAGACCTATTATCAACTTGAAAGGGATGATTGTAAGAAGCCTATTCCTTTACACATGTCACTAGAGTAATGAGTTTGCTATAACTATAGAACAATTAATGTATCTATGAATTATTTCATATTTTTTATACGTAAATTCTCAAAATGAACTCACCCTTACCTTTGTAATTTGGTCCTCCAACTGACATTAGTTTCTTTAAATATTGTTCCTGTTGAGCAACTTATTCGGGTTCACTCTCCTTGATAATAATTATATATGAAATTAACCAAGAAAAAAAAGACCCTTTTCCCTTGAGTTATTTAGGGACATATATTCTTAATATTATGATAGCTTATAAGATGTAACGTAATGCATCTCTAATGAGCTATGGGCAACATTATTATAACTAACTATTATTACGTTAATTGTATCCAGATTGGGAATGCTGCGATCAACGATGATACCGACGATTTAGGGATGATAGAATATTTTCAAACCCATGCTTTGATATCCAAAGAGACATTGAATCAATATTTGGAGTACTGTTATTATTCTGATAACGCTGACGATGAATGTGATAAAGCTTGGGACCAAATTGCAGAAGTCTTCAAAGACATTGATGTTTATAACATCTATGCCCCATTGTGCCACAATTCTAACCTCACCGAAATTCCCAAGAAGGCTTCAGTAAGTAATGGGGTTAATGACTTAATGTACTATATATACATCAATTAATAATTAGTTCTCTATTTTTTCCATATAATAATTTTTTTATTATTATTATTTATAAATTAATGGACGATGCAGGTACTTAATTTTGATCCCTGCAGTGACTACTACGTATATGCATACCTCAACAGGCCCGATGTTCAAAAGGCGTTTCACGCCAATGTCACGAAGTTACCTTACGATTGGGATTCTTGCAGGTGTGGTTATATCTACCTATCTTTATAGTCATTTTACGTATTTAACCTTATTAGTTGGGGAAAACATGCATGACAGATAGTGAGTTTTTGTTAAACCAAACATGGTTATTTTTTTTTTCCTATCTTCACATCATTTTCCGTAATGATATTTACAATATGGTAAGCGGGTGAATTTTTGAATATATTTTTGGTTACTTAATTTAGATAAATATCTTGTTTTAAATTTTAGAATAGTAATACGATAAAATAAAATATGTATCTTGTACTATGCCATTTTAGGAATTCCAAACTAAATATATATATATATATATATATATTTTTGCGAAAATGCAACCGTATAGAAATTTATAATTTCCTACCTCTCATACATTGTAACTATATAAATGTTCAATTTAGCGGATGATTGTATGGTCAAGATGCACAAGACGTTGCAACTTATAATTGTTCATTAGTTCATGTTGCATTCCACCAAAAACAATACATCTGGTTGAAAACATCAAAAATCGACATAGCATATGTTGTATAAATTCTTTTATTTTGTTTTCTCGTACAAAGAATACTACAAGTTGATACGAAAATATAACTTTGACGGTGCACTTTACTAATTAATTTTATAAGCTATTTTTTTATTTGCATAATAATTATATATTATATATATACTAACTAATTAAATTAATAGCTGAAAATACTTTTATGTGAATATTTGTAGCACCGTCCTCAAGAATTGGACAGACAGCCCAGAAACTGTTCTCCCTATCCTCCACGAGTTAATGGCTAATGGGATTCGAGTTAGTATATACAGGTAAATAACAACAACAATAAAATAAATTCTCATACTAGAAAGTAAAATATAATGCCACACAATATTCTCAAACAAAAACTTTACCCACTCATGATCTAACTAATTGATAAAACAACTAGATATTATGAATTAAATAAATTCTTGAGTGAGATAATTATATTTTTATAAGAAAGATGCATACTTATATTATGAAATATTTTATTTTGTTTTTAAGTTATGACGTTTCATTTTGAAATTATGAATGTATGTTGATAATGTATGTTTGTCTTATCGTTAGATCTGCTTATAAGTTAGACCTACCTATAATATAGTCTTACTGAAATGTTATGGTAGTCGGATTTTCGCTGGCTTTACTTTTGTATTATTGTTATTATTATTAATATAGCATATCAGAAGACTCATGTAGTTCCTTGAGGTGATATATAT